CCCCCCCCCCCCCCCCCCCATGCCAAACTAGTGCATAGGCCTTTGCATACAGGGTGATGGCTGGGCCGGGCCAAGCTACCCCTGCGGCGCCCGCCCGCCCCTGCCTCCGCCTCCAGTAACTGCCTTGGCTTGTAACTCGCACTCGCTGCTGTTGACGGACAGGCTGTGGGCCCTGCATTAACAGACATTAACCGATGTTTACACGGCAACGGCAATTAAAAGCAGATTCTGATTGGTAACGGGCTGCATCTGGCTCCTGGGGTTGGTGGGGGGCCACAAAGATGCACACTGGGGAGGATCCGTTCACCTGCTCACTCTGCCCCTGCGCCCATGTCCAGCTTCCCCGGGGAGGCAGCCCAGGTAACGAAACTGACTTTAATGCTTTCATAACACAATATAAATTACACAAGAATCAAGTGGCAACCGCAGCTCAGGTGCAAGTGCCAGCTGGGAGAGGGAGATCAGACCTGTCCCATGAGGCCCGTGGCCACCCTGAGCTGCAGCCACTACCTCCAGATGAGAGTTTCCCTGGTGGGGGGCAAGCAGGGGTGTGAGCCCCATGTCCTTGGCCTTAGGCCCTGAAGGGATGGCAGGGGATTGGTGGTGACAGGACCTGCTCCCACTCTCCCCCCACCAGGGAGGGGCTGCGGGGCAGGGCCTGCTACGTGACTGGGTCCTGCTCAGTCCACAGAGCCCCCCTCCAACCTGAGGCCTCGCAGCTCAGCTCTGTCTGTCCTTCTGGCCTGGTCCCAGAGCAAGTGTCCCCAGGGGAGGGCTGGCCCTCACTGCTCCCACCAGGCTGGGCCAGACCCAGACTGCCTTGGCCCCAGCAGGCAGCAGAGTTCCCAGGGTGGCCGTGTGGCAGTGCCTGGCCTGGCTGCAGGCCGCCCTAGGGCAGGGGGGCACCAGCAGGTGGCGGGGTGAGCAGGGCCTTCGTGCTGCGGGGGTTGACCCAGGCGTCGGCAGTGTGGCCGTGGATCTTCTGGTGGCGCTTGTAGTTGTCCCAGTGGCCAGTGGTGTAGGGGCAGTCACGGCACTGGAAGGGCTTCTCTCCCGTGTGACGCAGCATGTGGCGCTTGAGGTTCATGCTCTGGTTGCAGCTGTAGCTGCAGAGGCCGCAGCGGAAGGGCTTGTCCCCAGAATGGATGCGGCCATGGCGCTTGAGGTTGGCCAGGTTGCCGCAGGCGTAGTCGCACAGTGCACACTTGTAGGGCTTCTCGCCCGTGTGCACGCGCTGGTGCCGCTTGAGGTTGTCCAGGTGGGCCGAGGCATAGGGGCAGAGCGGGCAGGCAAACGGCTTCTCCCCACTGTGCGTCTTCATGTGCCGTGCCAGGTGGTTGGGGTAGTGGGTCACGAAGGGGCACAGGCTGCAGGCGAAACCCTTGGCCGTGCCAGGGCGGGGGCCAGTGCCTGGCTCAGCATCCAGTGCTGCCAGGCTGCAGCGGGCACAGGTCGGCTCAGCTAGCCCCTCATCCGGTGCCAGCCCGTCGTCCAGCACCAGCCCGCAGGCCCGACACGTGAAGGGGAAGAGCAGCTCAGGCAGCGTGCCCGCCTCGGCCCCCCGCAGCCGGGCGCAGCCGGGCAGGAAGGGGGCACCCGCGCCCGCCCCATGCAGGCTCAGCTCCGGCAGCAGCGGCTCTGCAGGACCAAGCACAGTAGTGCCTGCCAGAGGGGACGCGAACCCCTGGCTTACCCACACCAAGCCCCTGCCCCTGCAGCCTTTGCCCAAACGCCCATTCTGCCCAGTGCCATGGGGGGGCCCATGGTACACCCTGTCCCAGGGTACTGGGTAGGTCCCTTGTGCACAGTCTGGCCCAACACACAGACAGAATAACTGACCAGCTGGCTGATGGACAGGCAGCTCCCGTCTCTCTAGCAGGGACTTGCCCTAGAAGCTGTTGCCTAGCCAGGACCTGCCTAGGTGACAGAGATGGGGCTATCCCCCCTCCTTCACTCCCACCCCAGGCCCCTCCAGCACAGGGGTGAGAGCAGTGCGCCCTTACCTTGGGGCTGGTTGTGTGGGCGTGTTGCCCCCTCGGGTGGGCGGTGGCTGAGCATGTGTCTCTTGAGATTCCGGCTCTGGTTGCAGCGGTAGGTGCAGGCGCCGCAGCGGAAGGGCTTGTCTTGGCTGTGGATGCGCTCATGGCGCTTGAGGTTGCCCAGGCTGCTGCAGGTGAAGCCGCAGCCCCCGCAGTGGTAGGGCTTCTCGCCCGTGTGTGTGCGCAGGTGCCGCGTCAGGTTCACCAGCTGGGCTGAAGCGTAGTCGCACTGCGGGCACTGGAACGGCTTCTCCCCGTTGTGCGTCTTCATGTGGCGCTTCAGGTGGCTTGAGTAGTGTGAGGCAAAGGGGCAGAGCTGGCAGGAGTACACCACACGCTGGCCCCGGCCCACTGCCGCGTCCGTGCCTGCTGCACACTGCAGGCAGCTCTGCCCCAGGCCGGTGCCTGGTGGCCCCCCATCCACATCGCCCTCCTCAGCATCACTCTCCACGCTCAGTGGCTGGTAGCCCGAGGAATAATCGTCGTCACTTAGTGAGTAGGCTGGCATGGCAATCTTCCCCACTAGCGAGTCTGCTGCAAACAAACCAGGAGAGGGTCAGAGCCATACAGCTGCCTGCCCACCACTGTCCACATGCCCAGCACTGCCCAGAAAACCTCTCCCCTGCTGCAGAGACCCGTTATGGCTGGCCAAGCTGCTCCCTGGCCTGGAGCAAGGGAGGAGCTAGAAGGGTGAGGAGCTGGATGCTGAGCCTGGAGACACATGAAGAGAAACGCTGCTGGGGACCACAGGCAGCAAGGGCTATGTTACACAAAAGGAGTCTTGAGGGCTGAGAGCAGCAGCTTGGGGGACTGAACTGTGAGTCAGGGATGGCAAGTTAATTAGGCTTCTTGGGAGCTTCACCATTGGGACAGGCCTGGGGAAGCGAAGCGCCACAGGTTGACTCAGAAGCTGAGAGGCCTGGAGCAGCTGAGTGCACACCAAACAGGTGCAACAGCCACAGTGTTGGTGGGGTGGGAAGGGTGCCCAGTCCAGGGCACGGGCAGGGAGGCTGCATGCTAGGCAGTCCATGCCATAGGTCAGCAAGCAAGGACTGGCCATGCTCCAGGGAGCTGGAGCCTACAAGAAAAGGGTGCGTAAAGGGCAGGGCCTGCTGGAAGGACCATCCTGGGGCCACAGGACCTCGGGGCATCCGAAAGTGCCACATGCCTGTCCCAGGAGCCTTCTCCTGCAAGACATGGCAGGCAGCCACCACCCCATGACATTGGGCCTGCCACAGCACACATCTTGGACTGTGCCTGCCAGAAGAGGACCGTGCCCCAGGGGGCCAGGCCCATCACTTCAGCATCTGGCCAGACACCTTGGCACTGCTGCCCCCCAAATCAGCACAGCCAGGTCCTGTCGTGCTTCATGTGGCCACTAGAAGGCAGCAGGGGCCAGGGGCAATGGTCAACTCTGGAGCAGGACCCCCACCCCTGCCCCCCAGGGTCATCCCCGGATGGGACCCTGCCAGGCCCACAGGTGCAAAACATCGTCCTGGACTTTGGGACCAGCACCACAGGAACAGTCGCTCCCCTGAGCTGCATTCTGCCAGGGCAGCCATAACAGGCCTGCTCCAGGCTGGCCATGGGGACAGGCCTCTGGTAGCCTCAGGTTTCCCTGGGGTCAGCTGTGTGAGGGCCCAGCGGCAAACAGCTCTGGACCGGAGAATCCACCGGGCAGCAGCAGAGGCTGCCCCAGGACTGGCCAGCCCAAGCCATGACTGACAGGTGTGGCTCTGTCCTGACACCGCCCCCCCACCTCCCCAAGGCCTGGGCCTGGGGTCAGTGCTCTACAAGACTCGCATCTGCCTTGCCTGTAACCCCACAGCCACACTCCTACTGCCTGGCAGAGGCTCCTGCCCCCAGCTGTGCCCTGCACTCAGCTGCTGGCTGCACAGTCCTGCCCCAGCAACTCCCCAAGCTGCTGAAGCTACGCTGGTGTCTGTGCACCCAGCTGTCATCGGGTCCACGTGCAAGGGCTCCACATGGTCACAGACAGGGCCTGAGAGAGCATGAAGGACCTGGGATCTCCTGCCCACACCCCCCACCCCAGCTCCCCAAGCTCTCAGTGGCAGCACAGGCTCTGCATGCCACTGGGCTCAGGGGCACAGGCAGAGGAAACCTGTCCTGCAGCCAGGGCCTGACAAGGTGAGCTCTGCAAGCACTGCCCCAGGGCATTTGGAGGTGGGCATGGATGGCAGGTCCTGCTGCAAGACAGCTGGGGCTTGACAGCCTGAGCGCATATACTGCAGCAGCCTTCAGCCAACCAGGGTGTGGGGTATTCTCCTTGCTGGGCCTGTCCCAACAGTAGCTGGGGGGAGGTGGTCAGGGGGCAGCTGCATCCATGCATCACTCTCTTCCCTCCCTGAGCAGCTGCAAGGCCCTGCCCCCCCCGGGGCCACACACAGCACCACAAAATCAGGGCTGTGGGGACTGGGAGGGAAGGCTGTCTGGGGTCCAACCCCTCCATGGATGCAGGACACTCCTCCCAGCCCATCCCTGCCAACACTGATCGGCCTCCCCTTGGGAACTCCAGTGAAGGAGTCAGCACCGCCGTAAGCTCGCTCACCTCCTGTGGCCCCTCCGCACACGGGGCCTTGAGGTGCAGGCAGGCAGCACCAACACAAATACCAGAGGGATACATGTGGTGCTGGGGCTTCTCACCCCGGAGTTGGGTGGGGAATACAGGCCCCAGCAGGCCACGCGCTGGGGAGAAAACCCCAGGGCAGATGCTGTCCCCGGAGCAGATGCCAACAGCACTGGTTTCAGCTCCATCCAGCCGCTGCCTCGGAAGCTGCCTCCCCCATGTCCCTCCCAGTCCTGCCTCCCTTGCCCCCCACCACAGTGCTGGGGGGGGGGGAACAGGCCACAGCCGGCTGCATAGGGCCCTCACCAAACGCCCTAGCAGCGTCGTGGGGCATAGGGGGCGGAGCTCTGGTTGCCCGGGGGGACCCTGGCATGCTTGTTTCCTGCCTCCCCCAACACTCTCGCCAGGAATTTCCTGAGCTTCTGAAAATGAGAAACAGACTCCACCACGTGCCACGCTGCCAGGCCGGCGCACCGCCGCCACTCCTGGACCTGCGCGGGGCCCCCAGGACACGGCTCCACGCAGCTCGGAGGAGGACAGGCCACTGGTTCCCAGGCAACCGGCTGCCGCTCGGCCCGGCGCATGCCAGCCGTCCACGGCACTCGGCCCGGCTGAACCCGGCGCTCAGCAGCTCCCTGCACCTTGCAGATGCCCGCGGGGGCCCCTGGGCAGAGCTCGGGGCTCCAGGGAGCGAGACCACAACAGCAGCCAGGACGCTCAGGCCGTGGCTGCCCCCATCCCGGCCATACAGCGCCCCAGAGCCCGAGCGTGGTCGCGGTCCCTCTCGCTGCCCGGGCCGGCACGAACCTTCCGAGTCCTTCTCGAAGCCCATGATGCGGTCGTTGCTGTCGTCGAACTCCAGGTCCTGGCCCAGCAGCAGGTCGCTCTGCAGCACCAGGCCCGCGCCCGCCGCCTCCTCCAGCGCGTCCTCGGCGTCCACTGCGCGCGGGGCAGGGCGGCGTCAGGGCGGGGCCGGGGAGGACAGCGCCCC